CAGGGAGCCCAAGGTAGGAACTCAGGGCAGGAACCTGGAGGAAGGAGCTGGAGCACAGGCCATGGAGGAACACTGCTTACTGGCTTACTCCCCTGGTCCCTGCTCAGCCTTCTTTCTTATGCAACACAGGCCCACCTGCCCAGGGGTGGTACCACCCACAGTGGGCTGGGCCCTCCCACATCACTCATTAAGAAGATGCCCCTCAGACATGGCCACAGGCCAGTCCAATAGAGGCAATTCCCCAACTGAGGCTCCCTCAACCCAGGTGTGTCAAGTTGGCATTAAAGCTATCCAGCACACCTACCACCCCTTCCAAGGCTCAGGCAATGTATAATCACACCACCTTCCCTCGCTCATCAAGCAGTTGATGGGGAAGTTGGTTACCCCTCCCACCCAATCAGTCAACCTTAGCTGCATTGGGTGGGGGGAGGGGCAAAGGATATATAAGCTGAGAACAACCAAGAGGCACCTCCCTCACCATATTGTGGGTGGGGCTGTTGAGAGGTCACAGGATCTGCATTTGAGTGTGGACTTTATAGTGTAGCTGCTAATGTGGGGTGTCCACTCTTCTGTAAATAAACCCCCTGCCCTATGCTCTGTTAAAAAAAAAAATTAAAAAAACAAACCCTGGTCCTCTACAAGAGTACCAGTGCTCTTAACCACCGAATCATCTCTTCAAGCCCCTGAAAGGATTATTTCTGGTTAGAAGTATTTAACATCAATATTATTTATTTATTTAATTATTTATTATTTATTGGGTGTTTTTTTTGAGGCAGCTTCTCCCTGTAGCCCCAGCTGTCCTGGAACTCAATATGTGGACCAGGCTGGCCTCAATATCTCATAAGGACCCACCTGCCTCTGCCTCCTTAGTGCTGGGATTAAAGTTGTGTGGCATGACACCGAGCATCTTTTTATTTTTTTTGAGACAGTTTCATGCAGGTCAGGCTGACCTCAAATTTTCTCTGTGGCCAAAGATGACTTAGAACTTTTGAACCTCCTGCCTCTCCTCTTGATTATTGGGATTACAGGTGTGTCATCACACCAGGCTTATGCTGGGAACCGAATCCAGAACTTCATGATTCTAAACAAGCCTCTGTTTATTAATGGAGCTACATACTCAGCCCTTTGGTTGCATAGTATCAACAATTGACCAGGCTGGCCTTGAACTTACTGTGTAGCTCAGGCTGGCCTCGAACTCCTCATCTTCCTGCCTCTACCTCCCCAGTGCCGGGAGGATGGGCATGTTGTGCTCTTAAACCCACCTCAACACTACTTCTTATGTTGACTTTGTAGGTCATTATGTGTGTAGGAGCTATTTTTGAACTTAGAACTTAGGCAGGTCTGTTCCATATTACACCAGTTCCATTTGATTTAAAAAATTTTTGTGTATGTTGTGAGTGCCTGAATGTTTTGCACCATTTGTATGCCTGGAGGCTGAGAGACTAGAAAAAGGCATCTGATCTGGAACTGGAGTTACAGGCAGTTGTTAGCCACCCAATGGATGCTGGGAACTGAACCTTGGTCTTCTGCAAGAGCAGCAAACACTCATCTCTTCAGCCCCTCCACTTGACTTTTATTTGGTACATTAACTTGGTTGTTTTCTCTAATTTCATAACTCTTTTTAAAAGACGATTCAACCCTTGATGTTATTTGCTAAGTTAATGAACTTTCATTTGTTTTCTAATTCCTTAGCAAAGATTTTTACATTCTGTTTTAGTTTGTTTCTTCATTGCTGTGACAAAACACTCTGACCACTACCATGTTGGGGAGGAAAGCATTTATCCAGCTTACATCTCCCAGGTCACAGTTCATCAGGGAGCCCAAGGTAGGAACTCAGGGCAGGAACCTGGAGGCAGGAGCTGGAGCACAGGCCATGGAGGAACTCTGCTTACTGCCTTGCTCCCCTGGCCCCTGCTCAGCCTGCTTTCTTATGCAACACAGGCCTACCTGCCCAGGGGTGGCACCACCCACAGTGCTCTGGGCCCTCCCACATCACTCAACAATCAAGAAGATGCCTCACAGACATGGCCACAGGCCAGTCCAATGGAGGCAATTCCCCGATTGAGGCTCCCTCAACCCAGGTGTGTCAAATTGACACTAAAACTATCCAGCACACATGCATTTTGATTCAGATTTACCTTTTATAAAAAGTGTTTTTAAATTTTTTTAAATTTATTTTATGTGTATGAGTGTTATGTGTGCATGTGTGTCAGTGCACCTGTGTTGTGCGGTGCCCGTGAAGGTCAGAAGAGGGCATTGGATCCCTTGGAACTGGAGTTATGGACAGTTGTTAGCTGCCATGTGGGTGCTGGGATTTGAACCTGGGTCTTCTGCAAGAACAGCCAGTGCTCTTAACTGTGGAGCCATCTCTTCAGCCCCTCAGGTTTACATTTTTTAGAACTGCATGTTAAACTATCCTTCAAGATTGGCTTTGAAACTTTCTGTGTAATTTTCAGCAGTGTGAGCTCACTGGAGATGTTTGCAGCTTCTTACTGAGCACCATGGGGCGGGGGTCTCCTGTGAATCATCTACTGCCCCCTATTCCTTACTCAAATCCTTCAGACTTGTCAGGCCAGCACAAGAGGCCACTCCACAGAACTTCTTATCTGTCTGTCATTTGGGTGCCTAAGGACTTGAGGTGAGGACCTGATGGCAGGTTTGGCTTCCTTGGTCTCCTTGCTGGCAGTCAGGCGTGTCTGTTTCCCATCATTAGTCCTTCCCTTGTTTCTTTTCTTCATTCTTAAGATTAGACACAAATGCTTACTCTTTGCTTTTCTTTGGAAACTTCCCATGACCTCTGCTCGTTCTTGTCTGGTGATCTGGCTACAGCAGCAAAGGGCATAGTTTGTGTATGGAATTACTGCTTCTTGAAGGAAAATTCTACCCTTTTTTAAGTACTCAGTTCAGTAAATGGTTGATGGGGACGGGTTGTGTTCCAGTCTTAGCCCTACAAATTATGTAAGTGGAAGTTTGGCATTCTCAGGTGGTGAAATGAAGCTGATATACCTGCACCTGCCAGAATAGCATGCATCACGGAGGGGTCAATTAGTGTCTCACCTAACCAGGGCACTTGCCCACTACCCGAGGGGTTCGTGACCTTTCCTGTTCCCCTGGCAGGTTTGACTTCCGCTGCTAATCTGCAAATTGCTGCCCCCCCACCATCTTTGTATTGAACCAGTGGCTTCTCCTTCAGTGAAAATAATTATAGAATGATATTTCTGTAATTTTTTCAGTCACATTTGTATTATCTAGTGAGGAAATATGTATTCATTTGTTAGACTCTGAGTAGTTGATAATAGGCAGTTTGTTGTTACTTTTATGTGTCTGAAAGTAGGGAAGGTAAATAAGTACAGGAAGAGCTGACCCGCACTGACGTTAAATTTCCCTTTGTTTCATTTCCTCATTCCCCTTTTTAAAATTTGTGCAATAGTTTTACATAAAAATAATCTCTTTCTGATTATTAAGCCGGGCATGGTGGTGCACATCTTTAGTCCCAGCACTTGGTAGGCAGAGGCAGGCGGATCTCTGTGAGTTCAAGGTCAGCCTGGTCTACATAGTGAGTTCCAGGCCAGCTGGGGCTATAGGGAGACCCTGTCTCAAAAAAAAGACTGCCCCCCCAAAGTAATATCTGATTATTATAAAAAACTGGAAAATACTGAAAAAAATTTAATAAAAAAGCCATCCCTAGTCTCTGGGTGAACAGTCCTAACCTATGAGCAGGTTTGTGAGTCTGTGTTGACACTAGAGCTTGTTAGATTACTTTGAATAGCTGCAAATAGGCTCTGGCATTTGTGCCCATCCCTTCTGTTGACTTGAGTAGAGGCCTCAGTTGTAATTTTGTGTAATTCAGATAGTAGAATGAAACCGAGGTGTGTGCTTTCCACAAATGTAGAATATTCCTGAAGAATTTTTCCTCTGTATGTCAGTCTTCCATGATTACTTTTTAATTCTTATGTTTGGGCAGCAATGCTACCTTTTCAATTTCATCTCCAAAATTACTCTTGACTGTGACCTGCCTCCCTTTCTGACACCGTCAGTAATGATATTGTATCCATGTATGTATACATGCATGTAGGTATGCTTTTGGGGCATGGGCTTACTGTGTAGTTCAGGCTGGCCTGGAACTCACTGTCCAGCCCACGCTGGCCTCACATGGATAGTTATCGTCCTACCCCAGTCTTTTCTAAGTACTGAGATTACATGGCTGCACCACCGTGCCCAGCTATTTAAAGTCTCTATTTTTTTTCAGCCGTACTCTAGAGGCCGCCTGTCACCTGTAGTCTTTCCCTCTTTCTGTACTGCATTTTCTGCCTATTCATGAGGTTTCTTATTTGCTGCTTTTCCTTTCTTGCAGCTTTCAGCAATATATTTTTAAAAAATTAAAGTATTTCATATAAATAGAAAACACATGTTAATATGTAGAAATGACATTATGGTGTCTTGTCCTATGCTTATTTTTGTTTGTTGGGTTATACGTATAACCCAGCTGCAGTCACATCTGGGCGATATGGGCCCTTTAGAAGACTGTGGGCGCTCCCCAAGCTCCTGTTTCTTTGTTCTGTGATACAAGTGTGTTCTGGCTCAGCTCCTGCACAGTTGGATCTTGCTTTTCCCTCCATGTGGTCTTAGTCCTAGCATCGTATCTTTGGTGTGTGGTAAATGTTATGCCACATTATACTGATGTCTTATATTAATGCTAAATTTCTTCTCTTTTCTACAGGTAATGTGGCTCTAGATAATCTACAGATAACAGAAAATGCTCTGGTAAGTTTTTTTTAAAGCTATGTTTAATAACTCAGTTAATTTGGTAAGCTCTTAGAAATATTTGATTACTAGGCATCTGGTACCAGGTACCAGATAACAATTGCTGAGTCACTGCAAGCAGGATTCCTTATTTGACTATTTGCCATTGGAAAATAGGAGATTAAAGATTTAGAATTTCTTCCCTTAATGATCAAAACAGTGCCTTTTGGAAAATGGAGTGATTTCCCATGACCTAATTTGACTGTATAGCTTTGTAGGTCCATTTTCTTTAGAGAAACATTTTTCTCAAAACTGTGCTTACATATTTTTCAGGCAAATAAGGGGTGGGTGCTAACAGGTTAACTAGTGAAAACTTGTATTTTTGGAAGTAATTTATTGTATAGGCTAGCCTTATATAGTATGATGGTAATATTAAGATGTAAAGTAGAGCTTACTGCTTTAGCTTCAGTACGTAATTTGCCATCTAGTTAGTTAAAAGCAAAACATCACTCACTCTTCTCACACCCACTTAGGATATGCTTAGCTTACTATGCAAAACTTAAGTTTATGAAGTTATTTAAGAATGTTTATTCATTAAATTTTCACTGTGTGTGTGTGTGTCTTTTTTTTTTAATATTGAACTTTTTTTTAAAAATTAT